TATATATATATATATATATATACATATATATATATATAGCTGTACTACGTGCGTAACGACAAGTTTGCACGCCCGGTGAACAGTGCTCGGCCAGATGTATCTCACGATCTCTCTCGCATACGTATATATATATATATATATATATATATGCGCGTGTGTTTATTGTTTTTTTTTTCTAAGATTTTTCGAAACAACGATCAACCGATCAATGCTCGAATTGATTCAAAATCATATTATCATATCATTTTTGTGACAATTTCCAGCGAGAGAACGAGAATGGAAAAGTAAAAAATAAAAGATTAAAAAAAAAGAAAAGAAAAGTAGAAATCGACGAGGAAGAGCGTGGAATATTGGTTAATATCGTTCGTGTCACGCGCACTGTTTACCGAGAAATTACTCAAGAGAGCATCATCAATCGAGAATCATCTTTGATATTCTGATATTGAAGTTGCATGAGCGATAAGTAAGACTCGCGATATTCTACGTCGATCATCGTAAATCTTACTTTCGCCGAGTACTCTTACTTAGCTCGAACGTTAGATGAGTTTCACACGAGTTTGAATGAAAATGCTATTTGGTATAAAAGAAAAAAAAGAAAAAAAAAAAAAATTAAGAAATTAATTTTTCTCGAATTTTAATCGAAGAAGAAGAATTTTCTTAAGCAGAAGAAACAAAGAGATGGTTGATTAATGATGAATATCTCGCAACCCATCGTTTTCCCGACGTTTAAATGTTAAACGAAACGTGCCACGAAATTCGTAAATCGAAAATGTGAAAAGCTGCTTAAACTTACTCGACCGTAGCAACACCTGTAATCGTGAAATGACGATGCGACGACGGTGCAACCATCAATCGCTTTGCCATTCCCGATTCGACGATAATTCGATCGAAAGTGTTGCGATCGAAGCGAGGAAACAAACGTATCGCGAGAAAAGAGCGACAATGAGAGCGAATGACGAGATAACGAGATTTGCGTTCGTGTTATTCGTAACAATTATTAGCGGGCTGAATGTTAGAAAGCGATATATAGAAGCGATGTAAACCAAGATTGATAAAAAAAATTGATTGTAAAAAATTGTGAAAATCATCCAAAGTGGGGGAGGGAAAAATATCGTTTTCAATTTCAAGAGTGGCCAGATCTCCAACACCCGAGAAAAAACACCCGTGAAATCACGAAACATGCATAAATTTTTTAGCAAACCTAAAAAGGAAAGAAAAATTACAAAGAAAAATTTCCCGAATTCTTTCTTTTCGTTTTCTTTTTTTTTGGGGTGGAGGGGGGGGGGGAGAGGGGAGGATTGAAACGTACCGTATCAAATTCCGTGTAATTTTTTTTTTCTTTTCTTATTTTTTTTTTTTTTTTTTTTTTTTTCTTCTTCCTCCGTCTCTCTGCCTTCGAATATAGCTCGAGAAAGATTATCGAAGCGATTTAGTTAATAAGATAAACGCGGAGAAATTAGGCAAATAGAATGTATTATACAGGCGGAGACCTAAGAGAGCGGAAAGTCGATTAGGTAGAATATTTCGTGTAGATATAGTCACCCTTGTCCAATAGTGATCAAGCGATACGAAGGGGGAGGGGGGCGGGGGTAGGTACGTTAACTTAATTATCCAGCAGAACATCGACTATTCGAGCATATTTTAACGATATACTAATTATAATATAATAAGACGAACGATTTAATTATGTACGGAAAGTAACATCTTCGATCTTATTGGATATATAATTATCCACTAAATTTCCCCGATTTAACTATCTATTAATGATCTCGTAAACTGCACGTTAATCGAGATTCTACTGGTTCATTCTTGTTATAATGTCCTCCTATAATCGTAATGTGCGTGTACGTGTACGTGTGTTAATAACTGTACAACTATTCTTAATTTCAACACACTGAATACCATAGCAGCTCGAGATACAAGAGATAAGATATTTAATCTTTCGTAATCGAAAACTATTTTAATTTCTATTTTCCATTTTAATTTCTTTCAAATTTTTCATCACAATTTATTCGAATAATATATAACAATAATTCTGCTGGTTCGTCATATCCGTTTAATTTCACGTTGTATTATACTTTGGTAATCAATGTATCGAGACTTTTTCGATTTGATCTCAGATTAATAATAAGAAATGAATATTGGGATTGGAAAATTTGAAAAAAAAAAATTGCTCGTCTCTGCTCGTCCGATCGAATATTATTATTTCGTAAATATTAAAACAAATTATTAATCTGAGAGTGATCTCTTTAATCTTGAGGATGGACGTTTATATTTCACGCTAACTCGATATCGTAATAAAAAAAAAAAAAAGGAAGTATAAAATCGTATAAAACTCACCCAATAATAGTATTGGTAGCCATAATGAAGTCGGTAACAAGTGTATTCATCACATTTGCTTTGAAAAGTTTTGACTTTGTTTGAATATTAAGGAACTTATCAGGACTAACGCGTAATCGGTATACACCACTGGTACTCTCACCGACTTGAAGCGTATCGTTCAAATGTGCTGTTAGCTTATTGAGATCATGAGGGTGGCACAAATCCTTTATCGCAGTGCCAATCAACTCCTGCAACAAAAACACGACGAACGAATAATTATAATCAAGGATCGTTTATTGGATCGGGGGAAGAAGAAAAAAAAAAAAAAAGAAGAGATTTTCATTTAAAGGAATGAACACGTTAACAAAGGGAGATGAGATTTGAAATATAATCGATCTACGATTTACGATCTAAATAGGATAGATCGATCCCGATCGTGTAAAATTAAGTAACGGGAGTACACGGGAATGGACTATCACTCGAGAAAAATAACAAGTTTCAAGCAAGATAGATCTGGAATCTTTACCTTGCTTACCTTGCTTAGGTACTCAGAGTAAGGAGACGACAACCAGATAACATCAACCGCGATAATCTTCCCCGTGGTGTCCAACTTGACGGTAAATTGCTCGATGGGCGTACCAATGGGCTTTTCGTTCGGGGGTATCCTACGAGCCACGCACATTACGCAAGGGCCGTTGTCCGAAGATTCGGAAGATACGTCACCGCTCTCCAGACGATCGCTATTATTTGGCAAAAGAGCTGAACAGATTTGCATAGATTCGTATTTCGATACTCGTTGCTGCTTTTCTTCCATAGTCTCTTCTTTATCATCAGGAGGCTTCACCAAGAAGCGACAATTGAAGGTGCGGTTTCTTTGGGGCTGTTGCTCGTTCGTCCAGCCTAAATTGCACGTCAAATTTATCGTTATTATCGTTCGATATCGTAAATGCATTATTATTCTTTATTATTGTTGTTATTATTATTATTATTATTATTATCGAGGAATAAAAAAAAATTTCAATTTTTTCAAAAGAGAAAAAAATGATTACGTTACGCGTATAATGAAAGAAGAAGAAAAAGAGGATAAAGGAGGAATTGCTTCGTAATCTTCATTAATTGAACGATATATTTTGAAAAAAAAAAACGAAAAGACAATGGATAGGAGGATATTTTTCGATTCGCATCGCATATTTTCGATGAGCAACGAGCCCCACCGATGGCATCGCATTTCTGCTGCGCTATACAATTTCAAAGCTGTCTCCTTCCATTACGCAAGATAAATCTTTCCGTTGCGCTGCTACCGAACTTTCATAACAAAACGAGATAAACTGAAAAAAGTATATACACGTGCATACCATCCACGTAAATAGATGCTAAGGTTACATTATAACTACCCCCGACGCATGCGAAACGCATTCGTAAATAATCGCGAGGACGAAACACGTTACGCTTCGATCGAGATTTTAATCTCGGTGTATCTTTCACTGTCTCCATTCGCGGAAAGAGAGAGAGAGAGAGAGAGAGAGAGAGAGAGAGAAGAAATAATCAGATAAAGGAGAAAAAGATTTTAACGATGTTAACTTTTTGCATTCTTTACGATAATAATTATTTATATGTCACGTTTAGCGAATCAAAAAGAAAATTTCATCATTATTCTATTCCTTATCCTTTTTTATTTTATTTTTCAACGTGTTTACTATTTCACAGAATTGTAACTTTTTATTATTACGAGATAATATTCGAAAGATATACCAACCTAATTGCATAGGCAACAAACTCGGCATAAAGGTGTTATGATCTCCATGATGAATAATGTTATAAATATCCTTGCCAAGAACATCATCCTTCGTATAATTTATATACTGCGTTATGTTATCTGTTACATATTCCACTCGTCCTTCCGTATTTACAACAAACAAAAAGCCATCTAGCGCCTGGACAAAAATTTTCAATCAAATTAGATTGTATATAATACAAATATCATATATATATATATATATATATATATATATATTATTTT